GTGGGCATCAGAGGACCCTCCAACTTCCAAGCTCACTCATCTCTTGCCCTTCTCTTGCCCCTCTCTTGCCCTTCTCTTGCCCTTCTCTTGCCCCTCTCTTGCCCCTCTCTTGCCCTTCTCTTGCCCCTCTCTTGCCCTTCTCTTGCCCCTCTCTTGCCCCTCTCTTGCCCCTCTCTTGCCCCTCTCTTGCCCTTCTCTTGCCCTTCTCTTGCCCTTCTCTTGCCCTTCTCTTGCCCTTCTCTTGCCCTTCTCTTGCCCTTCTCTTGCCCTTCTCTTGCCCTTCTCTTGCCCTTCTCTTGCCCTTCTCTTGCCCTTCTCTTGCCCCTCTCTTGCCCCTCTCTTGCCCCTCTCTTGCCCCTCTCTTGCCCCTCTCTTGCCCCTCTCTTGCCCCTCTCTTGCCCCTCTCTTGCCCCTCTCTTGCCCCTCTCTTGCCCTTCTCTTGCCCTTCTCTTGCCCCTCTCTTGCCCCTCTCTTGCCCCTCTCTTGCCCCTCTCTTGCCCTTCTCTTGCCCTTCTCTTGCCCTTCTCTTGCCCCTCTCTTGCCCCTCTCTTGCCCTTCTCTTGCCCTTCTCTTGCCCCTCTCTTGCCCCTCTCTTGCCCTTCTCTTGCCCTTCTCTTGCCCTTCTCTTGCCCTTCTCTTGCCCCTCTCTTGCCCTTCTCTTGCCCTTCTCTTGCCCTCTCTTGCCCTTCTCTTGCCCTTCTCTTGCCCTTCTCTTGCCCTTCTCTTGCCCTTCTCTTGCCCTTCTCTTGCCCTTCTCTTGCCCTTCTCTTGCCCTTCTCTTGCCCTTCTCTTGCCCTTCTCTTGCCCTTCTCTTGCCCTTCTCTTGCCCCTCTTTTGCCCTTCTCTTGCCCTCTCTTGCCCTCTCTTGCCCTCTCTTGCCCTCTCTTGCCCTCTCTTGCCCTCTCTTGCCCTCTCTTGCCCTCTCTTGCCCTCTCTTGCCCTCTCTTGCCCTCTCTTGCCCTCTCTTGCCCTCTCTTGCCCTCTCTTGCCCTCTCTTGCCCTCTCTTGCCCTCTCTTGCCCTCTCTTGCCCTCTCTTGCCCTCTCTTGCCCTCTCTTGCCCTCTCTTGCCCTCTCTTGCCCTCTCTTGCCCTCTCTTGCCCTCTCTTGCCCTCTCTTGCCCTCTCTTGCCCTCTCTTGCCCTCTCTTGCCCTCTCTTGCCCTTCTCTTGCCCTTCTCTTGCCCTTCTCTTGCCCTTCTCTTGCCCTTCTCTTGCCCTTCTCTTGCCCTTCTCTTGCCCTTCTCTTGCCCTTCTCTTGCCCTTCTCTTGCCCCTCTCTTGCCCCTCTCTTGCCCCTCTCTTGCCCCTCTCTTGCCCCTCTCTTGCCCCTCTCTTGCCCCTCTCTTGCCCTTCTCTTGCCCTCTCTTGCCCTTCTCTTGCCCTTCTCTTGCCCTTCTCTTGCCCTTCTCTTGCCCTTCTCTTGCCCTTCTCTTGCCCTTCTCTTGCCCTTCTCTTGCCCTTCTCTTGCCCTTCTCTTGCCCTTCTCTTGCCCCTCTCTTGCCCCTCTCTTGCCCTTCTCTTGCCCTTCTCTTGCCCCTCTCTTGCCCCTCTCTTGCCCCTCTCTTGCCCCTCTCTTGCCCCTCTCTTGCCCCTCTCTTGCCCCTCTCTTGCCCCTCTCTTGCCCCTCTCTTGCCCTTCTCTTGCCCTTCTCTTGCCCCTCTCTTGCCCCTCTCTTGCCCCTCTCTTGCCCTTCTCTTGCCCTTCTCTTGCCCTTCTCTTGCCCCTCTCTTGCCCTTCTCTTGCCCTTCTCTTGCCCCTCTCTTGCCCATCTCTTGCCCTTCTCTTGCCCTTCTCTTGCCCTTCTCTTGCCCCTCTCTTGCCCCTCTCTTGCCCTTCTCTTGCCCTTCTCTTGCCCTTCTCTTGCCCTTCTCTTGCCCTTCTCTTGCCCTTCTCTTGCCCTTCTCTTGCCCTTCTCTTGCCCTTCTCTTGCCCTTCTCTTGCCCTTCTCTTGCCCTTCTCTTGCCGTTCTCTTGCCGTTCTCTTGCCGTTCTCTTGCCCTTCTCTTGCCCTTCTCTTGCCCTTCTCTTGCCCTTCTCTTGCCCTTCTCTTGCCCTTCTCTTGCCCTTCTCTTGCCCTTCTCTTGCCCCTCTCTTGCCCCTCTCTTGCCCCTCTCTTGCCCCTCTCTTGCCCCTCTCTTGCCCCTCTCTTGCCCCTCTCTTGCCCCTCTCTTGCCCCTCTCTTGCCCCTCTCTTGCCCCTCTCTTGCCCCTCTCTTGCCCCTCTCTTGCCCCTCTCTTGCCCCTCTCTTGCCCCTCTCTTGCCCCTCTCTTGCCCCTCTCTTGCCCCTCTCTTGCCCTTCTCTTGCCCTTCTCTTGCCCTTCTCTTGCCCTTCTCTTGCCCTTCTCTTGCCCTTCTCTTGCCCTTCTCTTGCCCTTCTCTTGCCCTTCTCTTGCCCTTCTCTTGCCCTTCTCTTGCCCTTCTCTTGCCCTTCTCTTGCCCTTCTCTTGCCCTTCTCTTGCCCTTCTCTTGCCCTTCTCTTGCCCTTCTCTTGCCCTCTCTTGCCCCTCTCTTGCCCCTCTCTTGCCCCTCTCTTGCCCCTCTCTTGCCCCTCTCTTGCCCCTCTCTTGCCCCTCTCTTGCCCCTCTCTTGCCCCTCTCTTGCCCCTCTCTTGCCCCTCTCTTGCCCCTCTCTTGCCCCTCTCTTGCCCTCTCTCTTGCCCCTCTCTTGCCCCTCTCTTGCCCCTCTCTTGCCCCTCTCTTGCCCCTCTCTTGCCCCTCTCTTGCCCCTCTCTTGCCCCTCTCTTGCCCCTCTCTTGCCCCTCTCTTGCCCCTCTCTTGCCCCTCTCTTGCCCCTCTCTTGCCCCTCTCTTGCCCCTCTCTTGCCCCTCTCTTGCCCCTCTCTTGCCCCTCTCTTGCCCCTCTCTTGCCCCTCTCTTGCCCCTCTCTTGCCCCTCTCTTGCCCCTCTCTTGCCCCTCTCTTGCCCCTCTCTTGCCCCTCTCTTGCCCCTCTCTTGCCCCTCTCTTGCCCCTCTCTTGCCCCTCTCTTGCCCCTCTCTTGCCCCTCTCTTGCCCCTCTCTTGCCCCTCTCTTGCCCCTCTCTTGCCCCTCTCTTGCCCCTCTCTTGCCCCTCTCTTGCCCCTCTCTTGCCCCTCTCTTGCCCCTCTCTTGCCCCTCTCTTGCCCCTCTCTTGCCCCTCTCTTGCCCCTCTCTTGCCCCTCTCTTGCCCCTCTCTTGCCCCTCTCTTGCCCTTCTCTTGCCCCTCTCTTGCCCCTCTCTTGCCCCTCTCTTGCCCCTCTCTTGCCCCTCTCTTGCCCCTCTCTTGCCCCTCTCTTGCCCCTCTCTTGCCCCTCTCTTGCCCCTCTCTTGCCCCTCTCTTGCCCTTCTCTTGCCCTTCTCTTGCCCTTCTCTTGCCCTTCTCTTGCCCTTCTCTTGCCCTTCTCTTGCCCTTCTCTTGCCCTTCTCTTGCCCTTCTCTTGCCCCTCTCTTGCCCCTCTCTTGCCCCTCTCTTGCCCCTCTCTTGCCCCTCTCTTGCCCCTCTCTTGCCCCTCTCTTGCCCCTCTCTTGCCCCTCTCTTGCCCCTCTCTTGCCCCTCTCTTGCCCCTCTCTTGCCCCTCTCTTGCCCCTCTCTTGCCCCTCTCTTGCCCCTCTCTTGCCCCTCTCTTGCCCCTCTCTTGCCCTTCTCTTGCCCTTCTCTTGCCCTTCTCTTGCCCTTCTCTTGCCCTTCTCTTGCCCTTCTCTTGCCCTTCTCTTGCCCTTCTCTTGCCCTTCTCTTGCCCTTCTCTTGCCCTTCTCTTGCCCTTCTCTTGCCCTTCTCTTGCCCTTCTCTTGCCCTTCTCTTGCCCTTCTCTTGCCCCTCTCTTGCCCCTCTCTTGCCCCTCTCTTGCCCCTCTCTTGCCCCTCTCTTGCCCCTCTCTTGCCCCTCTCTTGCCCTTCTCTTGCCCTTCTCTTGCCCTTCTCTTGCCCTTCTCTTGCCCTTCTCTTGCCCCTCTCTTGCCCCTCTCTTGCCCCTCTCTTGCCCCTCTCTTGCCCCTCTCTTGCCCCTCTCTTGCCCTTCTCTTGCCCCTCTCTTGCCCCTCTCTTGCCCCTCTCTTGCCCCTCTCTTGCCCCTCTCTTGCCCTTCTCTTGCCCCTCTCTTGCCCCTCTCTTGCCCTTCTCTTGCCCTTCTCTTGCCCTTCTCTTGCCCTTCTCTTGCCCCTCTCTTGCCCTTCTCTTGCCCTTCTCTTGCCCCTCTCTTGCCCCTCTCTTGCCCTTCTCTTGCCCCTCTCTTGCCCTTCTCTTGCCCTTCTCTTGCCCTTCTCTTGCCCCCGCTTTTCTCTGTGTGCTGTGCCCCCAGCATCCCCGTCCCCACCCATTCTCCTGCTAGGCATCGACATCGCGCCCCGGGTCGGCATCAGAGGACCCGCCAATTTCTTTGGCCATCCCACCACGTCTGATCTGGACGCACTCGATTCCGCTCTCAGCCAATGGGAGGCCGCCACGTCAGCTATTCCAGCCGCCCCTACCACGTCATCCCCATGGAACACGTCAGCACAGGGATTTTCCTTCTCAGCCCCCGCCTCAACCCTTGCCTCAGCCCCCGGCCCTGTTGTTGTGTTCTCGCACTACCCTCTCGCTTTTACCACTCGTGAGCCTTCCTCCCCGTCCTCTCCCTCTCCCTCTTCCTCCTTTCACGGACCCTCCTCCCCATCCTCTCCATCTCCCTCTGCTGCTCCGCGCCGTATGCACGATATATTGTTGAGGCATGCAGCATCAGCAGCAGCAGCAGCAGCAGCTGCAGTGCGTGGTGCTGCAAACCGCATGGTGCTCGTGAATGGGCATCTGCATTGGACGTTTGGGCGGCACTTATACAGGTGGCACGCCGTGAGTGGTGGAGGGGAGGGGAAGTGGGAGAAGGAGGGAGAGGGGGGAAAGGATGCAGATGCGGATGGGGAGGGGGAGGAGGAGGGAAAGGAGAGGAGGGAGCGGCCATTGGGTTGGTCTGTAGGAGCAGGAGTGGAGAGCGGTGCAGCGGGGTTGTGGGAGTGGGAGGTGGGTGACTGGCGCGTCAACAGAGTGGTTCGCATCATGGCCCATGACCCCATGACTGGCCTCCAGTTCACGGATGTTCAGCTGCTCAGTCCCACTCTCAAATCAGACGCCCCAGACCCTGTCACACCAGGTGAGGGGGCATGCGGCATTCACTTCACATACATGTAGAGCTGCTGCTCAGAGTGGTTCGCCTCATGGCCCATGACCCCGTGAATGGCCTGCAGTTCACGGATGTTTAGCTGCTCAGTCCCACTTTTAAAGCAGACGTTGCCGACCCCGTCACACCCGGTGAGGAGGTGCAGTGACGAGTGAGTTACCCCGAGTAAGCAGCTGCAGGCACGATTCTCTGAGTGGTTCGCATCATGGCTCATGACCCATCAGGAGGTGCATAATGTGCGGCCTTAATTCACCGACTTGCAGCTGCTCAGTCCCACTCTCAAAGCAGACTAGTTTTGAGGCGCCTCAAAACTTGACCCATCAGGAGGTGCATAATTTGCGGCCTTAATTCACCGACTTAGAGGTGACCCATTCAGAGAGTTGCACCTGCTCAGTCCCGCTCTTTCTCCAGATGCTGCAGACCTCGTCACACCAGGTAAGCAGTTGCAGTGAGGAGTGATGTGCCCAATCAAAAGAGTCGCAATGAGTGCTTGGACTGTAGAGATGTTGCTTAGCGTGGTGACCAATCAAAAGAGTCGCATCACCGCCTGTGGTGGCCCGGGGACTGGCCTGCAATTTACCGACTTGCAGCTGCTCTGTCCCATGTGATGAGTCTGTTTTTGAGTCGACTCAAAAACTGCTCAGTCCCACTCTCGCCGCCGCTGACACTGCAGACCCCGTCACACCTGGTTAACAGTTGAAGGGAGGAGTGACGTCCCCCATCACACCACCAGGTACGGAGGTGCAGCGAGGAGTACGTTATCCCAGGTAAGGACCGTGCCACCGTGGTGTGACTGTGCTGCTATCATGATGGCACCACATGACCCGCTGGTGGCAGCGTGAGAGTGGGTCATGGGTCATGGTAGCATGCAATTCTCTGACTTTCAGCTGCTCACTCCCACACGCACTCCAGATGCTGTAGGCCCCGTCACACGTGGAGCCACACTGTAGATTGTTACCATCACAGCGCAAGGGCTATGGAGCAGGAGAGGGAGAGCGAGAGCAGGTGGCAGCGTGGGTGGCAGGGGGTGAGATTGAGATATCAGCCCTTGTCTTCTTCCTCCCCGCCATCCTCATCGTGTTTGCTGTCGTCTTCACTCTTTTTACCCCTGGCAGGGCCCATGCTGCTGGCATGGCAACCAGTGGTGTAGTGCTGCCCACATGCTTTCTTTAAGCCTGCTCTTGTTCTGCTTTGCTGCTTCTCTCTGCGCTCTTGTTGCCCTGGCAGGCCCCATGCTGCTGGCTCGGCAACCAGTGGTGCTGCTCACATGCCCGCCCAACGCTCACTTCCTGCCACCATCACAACCCAAGAGTGCGGGAGCAGGAGAGCGAGGGGGAGGGGGAGGGAGAGGGAGAGGGAGAGGGAGAGGGAGAGGGAGAGGGAGAGGGAGAGGGAGAGGGAGAGGGAGAGGGAGAGGGAGAGGGAGAGGGAGAGGGAGAGGGGAGGGGAGAGCAGGTGGCAGCGTGGGTGGCGGGGGGTGAGATACGAGCCCTTGTCTTTTCCCTGCCGCCCATCCTCAAAGTAACTGCCATTGTCTATCTCGAGCGGGAGCCGGGCGGCGGCGTGGGCGGCATCTTGGCCAGCTTTCTGGGCGGCATGTTTGGCGTGGGCGGCAAGGGGAGCAGCGTGCAAGTGGCCCGGGTCGATCCCAAGGGGGAAAATAGCCCCCTCTCAGGGAGGCAACGAGCAGGCGCACAGGGCTGGAGTGCTGGTAACACTGGTAGCGCTGGTAACGCTGGTAACGCTGGTAACGCTGGCAACGCTGGTAACGCTGGTAATGGCAGGGGGAGTGGGAAGGAGATTGAAGTGGAGATTGTAGAAGAGGTGGTTCTAACGAGGGAGGGACCGGAGGGTGCGCAGCTGGCCCGGGAGGAAGTGGGGAAGGAAGGGAGTGAAGAGGACAGCGGTCGCCGCCCGTCTCCGCTCTTCTGGGCGGCGTGGGACGCGTCGAGATACACTCGCCCGCCCTTCTCTCCCTCCTCCCGCCTCTGGCTTGCCGTCCGCGTATCTCACCGCAGCACTCCTCCTCCTCTTCCCCGTGATGCTGATGCTGCGTCTGCTGAAGAATCACTGCTGGGTGCTGCTGCTGCTGCAGAAGCAGCAGTGAGGGGTGTTTCAGTGTACACGTCTCCTGCACAGCCCTTCACCACATTCAACCGCCCTGTACCGTTCCCACACACGTGGCTGGAGCGGACCATTATGGGAACAGACTGGGAAGACCTCTGGCCCTTCGCTATTGTCACACCTCTCCTCTTCCTCGCCCTCATACTCCTTGGCTCTCGGGCCTTGTCGTACCTCATCCCCCCTCCCTCTTCCCACTCCTCTCCCGCTTCTCACTCTTCTCACTCTGCTCGTGCCTCTCACACGACTCAAACCACTCACGCACCCTTCTCTCACTCTCCTTTCACCACCCCAGCCACTGACAGACAACCCCCCCATTCCACCTCTCTCTTTGCCTCCCATTCTCCCTCTTCCCCTTCCTACCAACCCCCCTCAACTTCCGCTGTACAGACCTTCTCCTCCTCTCTTCTCACGCTCATCAAATCCCTCCCCTCCGCTCTCCTCGCCCTCCTACGTCTCTTACTACACATCTACCTCGCTGCTTCCCACTCCTCCGCCTGGCCCCTCTCCCTGCTCCTCCTCCTCTACCTCACTCTCTTCCCCTGGTTCTGGGCACGCCCCCTCGGGCCTTCCTGCGCCGTCGGATCGCTTTCAATCTACGGCTGGGCTGTTCCCCTCTGCGAGCCCATCCCTCCTCCCTCCTCCCCTTCCTCCTCCTCCTCCTTTCCGACACTTTCCAAGTCCCCTCTCACTTCCAACCTCGCAGTTCCTGATATAGTCACAACAGTCGAGCCCTTTCTCGTTTTTGTCACTGTCCCTGCATTTCTCGTGCTCCCCCTCCTCCTCTTCCTCCGATCCGCCCTCCTCTCACCCTGTGGCCCACACACTCTCGTTGGCTGGGTGAAACTGGCACTCTCAAAGGAGGCAGGGAGGGAGGGAGAGAGAGAGGAGGGGAGAGACGGAATAATTGTGTCTGAAACGGAGGGGGCGAGGAGTGGGGAGGAGGAGGAGAGGCGAGCACTGGTGGATCGGGGAGGGGAGACGCAACGGGGAGCGACAGGAAAAGCAGAAGGGTGGGGAAGGGAGGGTGATGAGGATGGGACAGGCGTGGATATACATGCTGAGGCTGCAGCTGCTACAGCTGCTGCAGCTGCTACTTCTTCTTCTGATGGCATCATTATCAGGAGTAGCAGCAGCAGCAGCTGTAGCGGCTGTAGCAGTGGGGGAGAAGGAACTGACGGGGTGAAGACGCTGCGTCGAAGGGGGTCAAACGGAAGGCTGGGATCTTCATCTGAAGCCGTCCCGCTCCGGTCTCCCTCTCCTCCTCCACCCGCTCCTGCTGCTGCTGTTTCACCTGCCGCTGCCCCATCTCCCAATCCCTCTTCCCCCTTCACAGTCGCTGTCAAGAGAAGGAGGGACAGGAGGCAGCAGCAGAGGGGAATGGGTACTGAGGGGGATTCTTTGTCAGAAGGCAGGGGGAGCAGGAGGCAGCAGTGGGGCATGGGGTGTGTGTGGCCAATCAGAGCATGGCAAGTGGTGGTTGTGCTTGCGCTCGTGGCTGCTGCGGCCCCTCTGCCCATCCTCGTGTACCTTCGAGTGAGTCTGCGTTGGTTTAATGGGGCCTGGTAGTAAACCTGGGTATGATTTTCTTGCCGTAGACATTTCAACAATATCTTACTGCCCCTCTGCCCATCCTCGTGTACTTCTGGATGAGTTTTGCCCTAAACCCTGGTGGGGAAGTTGGTTTGATTTTTGAGAGGTCTCAAAAATCTGCTGCTGCCCCTCTGCCCATCCTCGTGTAGCTCCGGGGTGAGTTTGAGCGGGTTTTCTGGGGTTTTAGGGTTTAGGGTGGTTCTAGGTGTGAGGGGGGTTCTAGATGGTGTGTTCATGGTGGCCCACATACATTCATATCCCTACACCGGAACATTATTGTTGGCACTTCTCTGCCTACATGCAATGTTGATGCATGGTTGGTGCATTTACTCCTCTTTCTCGTTGTAATCAAATAAAGCATACCATATGCGCATTACATCTCAAACTTACATTACACTGTACTTGTTTTTGCTCCTCCGTGTCCTCTTCCTGTTTGTGCATGTAGCAATGCCGATTCATGGCGGGTGCATTTGGCCCGCTCGCATTCATACTCTCTCCGGGATACTCTTGGCTCCCCTTCATCCTACTCCTTGGGATATTTCTACCGTAGGCCTGCTGAATGCTATAACACACGCTTCTTTGTTTTACACATCCTTTCCCTGATGTGTCACTATGCCTGAATATATAGCTGAATTTGACAGAATATACATTGTACCTTCTCGTGGGGCTCTTGTTGTCACGTAACATATAGTTGCTTCTAAAAAATCAGTCAGACCTTTTATCGAGTACATAATTGAAAGAAGTGCAGCGGCCCGCTGCATTTAATGCATTTAATGCACCTTGTGGGTGGGGTACGCCGATTGGTTTCGAGGAAACATCCAAAAGTTGACGGTCCCAATAACAGCGAATCACAGGCCTCACCTCTTTTGGAACAACAGTGCAAACGTTTCAGCTGAATCGAGTCAACCACAGACTGCGTAGATCAGATTTAGTCAACGTCTCTGTGCTGTACAGTATTCGTTATATTTTCCGGGTTGATAAGATTTGCTGGGTGAGTTGATTTGAGTTAATTTCGTTTTTTTTGTTTGAAATTGAAAGTATACATCACTTGGGACAGATGCACACTAACAATCGCGGTCGTAACCGAACTGTGAATATCATTCAACTCCTGGAAGTGTTGCTGGTTTGTTGTTCTTTTGGGGTTGCTGGTTTGGAAGCAACGCATTCGACTGACGGGATGAATGATGAAATGGGTGTTCTAAAAAAATCCTTGATGAAATGGTGAAGATGGTGAGGGTGGTGCAGTGAACTTTTTTCTGGTGGTGGTGGTGGTGTGGGTGGCTGCTGAAATGTGGTCAGATTGCCCTACAGTATTTGGGTCTGATTTCGATTCATACGGTTCCCGCTCCCTTGTCAACCTGTTTTGTACCAAAGAACCCCCATCACAACAATTTCCCCCGTTCTTCGCTGCGCATCACATTCAGCCGAAGTCTGAACAGAATCCGCCCAGAAGTTCAGGTTTCATTCAGCCAATCCCCAAAGCACAATCCGCATCCTCTAATGCAATTCGCTTCGATGCGAAATAGTGACCTTTTCCCTCATCTCGACCAATGGCTCTCCCTCTCGCCGCCCAGTCGCCATCTACCTCATTCGTTGCACCTCTTCAAATTGGCTGGGTTTGGGTCAGCTCCCCCGGCGTTACACATTTCATTGCCTCGCCCCCCTTTGCGTTCGCTGTGCTCCGCTCTCTCCCTTCCCCCGCCCCCCCTCCCACCTTATCACCGCGCCTGCCTTGTTCTCTCGTTTCGCCTTGTTCTTTCTGGGTTGATGCAGGCTGCTGCAGCATCAAGCATGCCACCACATCGCATCGCATCACTGATGTTGCCACCTCAGTTTCGGTCCAGTTGGTCCCTCAAATGCTGCTGAACCGTGACTTTTGGTGGTCGTTTTCCCGGTTCATGAACCTGGCGTTCACCTTTTCACTAACGAAAAGCGTTACCACACTTCTTCATAGGACACTTCAGAGCTCGAGCCTTCTGTGGGCTTATTAGTTGCACATCAGAGACATTTGAGTAGCGAATTCCTTCCTTCTTGCGAGCTGCTACATTGTCGAACGCTGCACGTCCCCCTCCACTACGGAGTTTCTACGTCACGGGAGTCTCTGCGTTCTACTAGTAAACTTGTCATCATGGAAGCCGATAAATGGGTCGTTCGCAGATGCGTTTCCGCGACTGATGTTCGACGAAGCGGCGGCCAAGTTATTGTACCCGTTACAGGCTCCACACACTGCGAAAACTTCGACGACGGGGGCGATGTAGTAGGAGACTCGTTTCGGTTCTGGAGCACCGATCCACGTGATTCTCTTCATACCACGTCAGACGCCTTTTCCTGCGCCGACGCCGCGCGTGCGTGCGATCCCGAGTGGGTGGAAGACGCTCGGTCGCGAATCCGCCATGCAGCGCTCGAGCTCGTCGAAGCGCAGCAACGATATGCGGAGCACAACCGGAGATTAATGCACATGGCGGGAGGCGACTACACGTTGGACGACGCGCTGAAAGCGACAAGATGCGAGGCCAGTTTGTGTGCCATGCCGTTGATGCCTGTAAATTCGAGGAGAGACAGCTGCAATGCTTCTTACCGTGACAAGCGTCAAGACAGAAAGGATAGTGGCGGATTGAGGGAGCGGACAAGCTTCGTTGGCGCTCAAAAGGCCAGGGGGCAGCTTCTGAGTTCAATATTAGGGTTTCTACCATGGGTACGGATGCAATAGTGGTGCAATGTGGCGCAACAACGGGCGTGAAACAACATTGGTGCAAGCATTTGCCCAGGCACGACAAATTCGTTTAAGATGTATTTATATTACAAAATAGTTGGCCATGGCTGACTACATAATTCGAATGCACCAATAACGAATGCACTTCATGTGCCATCAGACGACAGATGTGCGGGACAGACTTCTTCGCCAGATTTTTCGCCGCCGGTCCAGCGTCATTCGGCGAAGAGAGGCATGTGGTTGCTTTCATCCCCACTGTTGATTGAAAACGTATCAACCTTCCGTTTGTGGGTGAACAAGGGGTCTGTGTCCCACTTTTGCTCCTGATTATATATATCATGCAAAGAATTAGTCTCTGTTCAGTCTGATCTTAAAACCTGGGTACAGCATGGCGTTTTCAAGTTCAAGATTCTTGAACTTGAAGTCGCCAATAACCGAGTTACCCTACTTGCTTTCAAACAACTCTCGCGACCCCGGGCCATCGTCTTGCGACGACGGTGTCCTATTGGTCTGTGTTCTGTAAGGGCAAAATCGAGGCGATCATCGCACGGAATATGCACTGTTCACCACTCACAGAACTTGTAAGCCAAGTTGTACTCATGAACTAGTAGGCTCCCCAGGCAGTAACTAGCACTATTGAGGCAAAAGCGAGCCGATAGCCCCATTTTTTTTATGTTCCCCGCGAAAGAGACATGAAGTCCAGCCGCAGCCGTGTTAGGGAGAGCTTTCTCTCATTCCACTCTCGCGTCGCCGGTCTCGTGTAACACCCCCCATTCGTGTCACTTACGTTAGCGAACGATGAAAGCGGTCACCCGCGCCTTGCTTACAACCTCGCGTCGCACACACAGGCTCGCATAACGCGCAATTGGTGCGGTTCAACATCGTGTCACGATCCTATTGTTTTTGGCACGGGTCACTCACTCGACCTCGCCTCCTCACTCGATCTCGCCTCGTCACTCGCTCGCCTCCTCACTCGATCTCGCCGCCCGTCACGCGCTTCCCCATCACGCGTGCATCCCCTCGTCACCCGCGCATCCCCTCGTCACCCGCGCTTCCGCTCGCGTCCCGCGGGTACACTCGTCAACCGCGCTTCCCGTCGTACTGAGCGCAAACCGCCGTCACCCGCCCTTCACGTCGTCACCGCTCATTCAGGTCGTCGCTCGCCCTTCCCTTCGTCACTCGCCCTTCCCTTCGTCGCTTGCGCATCCACTCGTCACCCACATTTTCCCCCGTCAACCACGCTTCCCCCCGTCACCCGCGCTTCCCTCGTCACTCGCGCTTCCCCTCGTTCCCCGCGCCTACCCAATTCGCCCTCAATGCCCTCGTCGATAGCGCCTCTTCAATTCGCCCTCGTTACTCCCCATCGCTCTCGCCTCCCCACACCTGCCTCCATCCCCCCAACACCTGAACCGCCTTCCCCCCACATATCCCTCCCTCATTCCCCCCCACATATCCCTCCCTCATTCCCCCCCGCATATACCTCCCTCATTCCATCCGAAGGGGAGGGACAGAGGGGGAGGGATAGGTTGAGAGGGACAGAGGGGGAGGGATAGCTTGGGAGGGACAGAGGGGGAGGGACAGAAAAGGAGGGACACAGGGGGAGGGACAGAGGGTGAGAGACAGAGGGTGAGAGACAGAGGATGAGAGACAGAGGATGAGAGACAGAGGATGAGAGACAGAGGATGAGAGACAGAGGGTGAGAGACAGAGGATGAGAGACAGAGGATGAGAGACAGAGGATGAGAGACAGAGGATGAGAGACAGAGGATGAGAGACAGAGGATGAGAGACAGAGGATGAGAGACAGAGGGTGAGAGACAGAGGATGAGAGACAGAGGGTGAGAGACAGAGGGTGAGAGACAGAGGATGAGAGACAGAGGATGGGAGACAGAGGATGAGAGACAGAGGATGAGAGACAGAGGATGAGAGACAGAGGATGCGAGACAGAGGGTGAGAGACAGAGGATGAGAGACAGAGGATGAGAGACAGAGGATGAGAGACAGAGGGTGAGAGACAGAGGATGAGAGACAGAGGGGAAGGGACAGAGGTATCCCCTGCCCTGCTTCCCCCCATCCTATCCCTTCTTTCCCCGTATCCCCTGCCCTGCTTCCCCTCATCCTCTGACTTGCTTCCCCCCATCCCCACACCCTCTACCTGCTTCCCCCCATCCCGTTCTTTGCTTCCCCCCATCCCCTTCCCTGCTTCCCCCCATCTTCTTCCCTGCGTCCAACCATCCCCTTCCCTGCTTCCCCCCATTCCCTTCCCTGCTCCCCCCCATCCCCTTACATGCTTCCCCCCATCCCCTTCCCCCCTTCGCCCCATCCCCTTCCCTGCTTCCCCCCATCCCCTTCCCTGCTTCCCCCCATCCCCTTCCCTGCTTCCCCCCATCCGCTTCTCTGCTTCCCCCCATCCCCTTCCCTGCTTCCCCCCATCCCCTTCCCCCCTTCGCCCCATCTCGTTTCCCCCTTCGCCCCATCCGCCTCCCTGCTTCCCCCCATCCCCTTCCCTGCTTTCCCCCATCCGCTTCTCTGCTTCCCCCCATCCGCTTCTCTGCTTCCCCCCATCCCCTTCCCTGCTTCCCCCCATCCCCTTCCCCCCTTCGCCCCATCTGCTCCCCTGCTTCCCCCCATCCCCTTCCCTGCTTCCCCCCATCCCCTTCCCTGCTTCCCCCCATCCCCTTCCCTGCTTCCCCCCATCCCCTTCCCCCCTTCGCCCCATCCCCTTCCCTGCTTCCCCCCATCCCCTTCCCTGCTTCCCCCCATCCCCTTCGTCGCTTTCCCCCATCCCCTTCCCTGCTTCCCCCCATCTCTCATTCCTTCACACCTTCCCTCATTCCTTCCCACCTACACGCATTCCTTCCCAGCCACATATAATTCCTTCTCACATTCCTTCCCACCCTCATGCACCCATTCCTCTCTCTCTCTTCTCCCGTACTCTCCTTCTCTCCTTGCACCCGCACTCTCACTCTCCTTTCTCCTGCACTCTCCCTTTCCTGCCCTTCCCTTCCCCATCCCTTCTCAACCCTTCCCTTCCTTTTCATGCCCTCCCCTTCCCCCTCACTCCTCACTATACTTGCTTTCATCATGTGCGCTTGCTTGTATCCCCTTGCCGTTGTTCCCTTGCACCTCACACCACCTCCCCCATGTTCCAGTGGTGAAGCAGAGGAGCAAGCTGAGGCGCAGCTAGTCGATGCTTTACACCGTGCCACCACCTGTTTCTTGTGTATGCAAGCATGATACTGTATTAATGTTGGAGATATCCATCTCGAAGGAACAATGTATACTTATGTTTCTGAAGTGCAAGATACTCTTCCAAGATGCATGGGCACATAGAGGCATGTTCCTAGTACTTTTGATTGTACCTTTCCCCGGGCCTTGAAAATAACACGAGGGGAACTTGTTTCCCTATGGGCATGGCATGAGATGATGGGCTGCAGGCGCGTTGCAGTACCAGAAAAACCTTCAGTGTAGTCACTGCAATAGCCAGGGAGAGGGAGGGAATACGAGGGTGTCAAACTGAGGAATTGATGATGCATTCATGTTGGTTGGGGTACAAGTAGCTAACCCTAACTTTTGTACTCCCTAAGACAAACCTCACTATAGGCTACCACATTTGACACACCCCCATAGCCTAGGTGAGGGGTGTCTAGCAGAATCAAAAGAGTACGGTCACAAGACCAGTCCAAGAAACAAAGCTCAGGGTGGATCACAACGTCACCACACTCTCTGAGCACAAGCACCAGTGGCCACAAGGCCAGTCCAAGATATAACAAAGATATATAGAAAGCGTACAAGCAAAGTAAACAGTGCACTCAAGTCTAAGCAAGACGAGAACCAGTGTCAACAAGGCCTAACTGCACACAGCACCTCTGGTGGTCACAAGGCGCAAGCGCCTTGGTGAAGATGTCTGCAGTGTTGGCCTCGGACTCCACAAACTCGAAGCGAGCCTGTCCACGTCTCTGCAACTCTCGCAGAAGAAAGTACCTGACGTGAATGTGCTTCACTCTGCTCTCCAGTCGCGGCTCTCGACAAAGGAGAATCGACGCCTTGTTGTCAGTGAACAGGGTCGGTGCAGAGCTCGGCCGCTCACCAACGTCTGCAAGGAAGATCGTCAACCAACGCAGCTCCTGTGCGGCACCAGCGTAGATCTCAGCCTCAGCTGTAGAGGTCGAGACCGAAGAGGAGCGCGTGGACCGCCAGGAAACAGCTCCAGAACCCAGGCTAAAACAGTACCCCTGAGTAGACCTGTGAGTCTCAGCGTCGTCAGCGTAAGAAGAGTCACAGTGACCAGTAAGTACGACAGACTGCTGCCCTCCAAGAACTAGCCCCACGCCTGATGTCGTCGCTAGGTACTTCGCCACCCTCACAGCTGCTGTCCAGTGAATAGGACGGTGTCTCCCTGGCGCAACAAAGCGCGCAAGGACGCTGAGAGGGAAGGCGAGGTCTGGGCGAGTACAAGTCATCAGGTACATGAGGCAACCCACAAGCTCTGCGTAGGGACCACTAGGCTCAAACGGCTCGTCAGGAAAGGGTCCAGTGAGTCTGTGGTCAACAGCAAGAGGTGTGCGCTGTACTGTGGAGTGCTGAAGCCCGAACCGCTGAAGGACCTGCTGCACCATGTGTGACTGTGAAAGTGTAATGGTGCGAGCAGCTCTGTCTCTGGTGATCTGCAGGCCAAGGTAGTGGCGCAGCTCACCAAGGTCAGTGCAGGTGTGTCTCTTCTGCAGTTCGGACTTCACGTGTGCCAAAGCAACCCTGTCAGCAGTGGCAAAAACGAGGTCGTCAACGTAGACCAGAACAAAGAAAGGTGTGGAGCCACGACGAACGAACAGCGACGGGTCAGCAGAAGAAGGCTGGAACCCAAGGTCAGAGAGGGTAGAACGCAGAGTGTCGTGCCACTCACGAGGGGCCTGGCAAAGACTGTAGACAGGTCGCCTCAGCCTCCACTGGGTCCCAGGAGGGAAGGTGCCAGTGAAGGCAGAGGGACGACGCAGCCAGACCTCCTCGTGTAGGCTGCCCTGAAGGAAAGCAGTGGAGAAGTCGAGAGAGTGTAGCTCGTAGTCTCTCTGTGCTGCTACGTGCAGTAACACCCGAAGAGTAGTCATCTTCGGGGTGGGCGCGAAGGTCTGAAAGAAGTCAACTCCCTCGCGCTGACTGAAACCTCTAGCCACGTAGCGCGCCTTGAAGACCGGGGGAGATCCCGGTGGCCGCTTCACCCTGTAGATCCACATGCCGTCGACTACGTTCGCCCCAGGAGGGGGAACCTCATCGATGTAGGTGCCTGTGGATCTGTAGGAGGCCATCTCTGCGTCCATGGCAGCTCTCCACTGAGAGGCCCAAGGCCCTGACACTGCCTCAGCGTAAGTGCGAGGAGTCGGAATGTCAAGGGCGTCTGGGTCACCCTCAGGGGCGAGGAGCATGGCACAGAGATGAGGGGAAGCGGCTGCCAAGAACTCTAGCTCAAACTGCCTGTCCTCTAGGGCGTCACAGCCAAGGGCAGACACACCCCCGACGGCCAGAGGACTGGAAGGAGGAGCAGCCACAAGACCGGTGGCGAAGTCAAGGCGGCGGGTAGAGGCAAAGTCAGTGACTGCGGCAGTAAGAGCGGACACAGAGGACACAGAGGCACGAGGGTGAGTAACAAGCGAGGCGAGAACACGAGAGAGAACAGGACGGTATGTGCGGTAGTAGTCAGTGACAGGAGTAGGGAGCGACGCAGTGAGAGCCGACTCAGGAGGAGACGGAAGCACAGACGGAGACGGACGAGGTGGACTAGAACGAAGTAAGGCAGTACGAAGGTCAGTGAAGGGAACAGGAGACGAGGGACGAGCACGAGGGGAGCGACGAGAGGCCCAAGTCTGAGAAGGAGGAGGGGACAACGAAGACTGAGAACGAGGGAAAACAGCGGGAGAGGGGTCAGGAGGAGGAAGCGGAGGACCAGAGACGGGAGGAGAGGGGGAGGAGGAAGGAGAGCGAGAGGGGAGACCAAGGGTCGAAGACCCGAGATAGGAGGAGGAGGCGGCTGCTGACAGGAGGAGGAGGCGGCTGCTGCTGCTGCTGCTGCTGCTGCTGCTGCCGCTCCTGCTCCTCCAGCCGCTGCAACTCTCGCTCCTCTCGCTCCAACTCCAGCTGCTCCTCACGAGCACGGCGAACACGAGCCTGGAACCTGGTCGGGTAGGGGTGGGGGGTAGTAGTAGTGTCCGGGGCAGCGGCAGCCCCAGAGTCCACCTCCGAAGCACCAGGCGCACCACCCCCAGAGTCAGCACCAACACCAGCTCCAGACCCAGACGCACCAGAAACCGAAGGGGTCTCATCCTCACCCCCAGACGCAGCACCCCCAGACCCCGCACAACCAGCACCAGCTCCCGGAAGACGAGAGTCCTCTGCAACCCGCGGCTCAGCTCCAACTCCAGCACCCCCAGAACCAGAAACCGGTACAGGAACTGTCTCAGTACCAACCTCTCTAGAGCGAGCACCTGCAGGACGCGGCGAGGAAGACTGTGGGGAGGGAGGCTGTACCGGAGGGGCTACCGAAGGGGGAGGGGTAGCCTGGGACACACCGGACGGGGCTGGACCAGGGGGGGGAGGCTGTACCGGGGGAGCAGGCGGGGGAGCGGCGGTCAGGAAGAGAGGGGGGGGAGGGACCGGGAGACCTCGACTGGGGTACCTGACGTAGTAGGGGGTGGACTCCTCGAAACGGACGTCACGGGAGTCAAAGAACCGGTGAGAGGGAGGGTGGTAAAAGGTGAAGTCAGAGGAGTCCTCAGGGAAACCAAGGAAGACACAAGGAACGGCGCGAGGCGAGAGCTTGTCCGCGGAGGTGTCGCGGACAAGAGCCAAGCACCCCCAGACACGAAACCTCGACGCAACACCAGGGGACCCGGTCCAAAGACTGGTCGGTGAAGCCTCTGGCCGAGAGACAGTAGCGAGGTACATTGTACCTGGTTACTGAAGCCGGATACGGTCACGAACTGCACCGCCCTACCGGGTAACCTACGAAAGCTCAGCGCGACTCGGATTTTACTGTTCAAAGCTGAACTTCGCTAGTCGAACTCTTATGTGCCGTGTGATACATGTGAAGTGAGGAACAGCGGCTCGAGCCAAATGGATATAAATGCTCGAGCCTAGTGTCAGATGAGGAAATGGATGATGCATTGATGTTGGTTGGGGTACATATAGCTAACCCTAAGTTTTGTACCCCCTAAGACAATCCTCACTATAGGCTACAACATTTGACACACCCCCATAGCCTAAGTGAGGGGTGTCTAGCAGAACCAAAAGAGTACGGTCACAAGACCAGTCCAAGAAACAAAGCTCAGGGTGGATCACAACGTCACCACACACTCTGAGCACAAACACCAGTGGCCACAAGGCCAGTCCAAGAACTCACAAGATATACAGCAAATGTACAAGCAAGACAAACAGTCAACTCAAGTCTACACAAGACGAGAACCAGTGTCAACAAGGCCTAACTGCACACAACACCTCTGGTGGTCACAAGGCGGAAGCGCCTTGGTGAAGATGTCTGCAGTGTTGGCCTCGGACTCCACAAACTCGAAGCGAGCCTGTCCACGTCTCTGCAACTCTCGCAGAAGAAAGTACCTGACGTGAATGTGCTTCACTCTGCTCTCCAGTCGCGGCTCTCGACAAAGGAGAATCGACGCCTTGTTGTCAGTGAACAAGGTCGTTGAAGAGCTCGGCCGCTCACCAACGTCTGCAAGGAAGAACGTCAACCAACGCAGCTCCTGTGCGGCACCAGCGTAGATCTCAGCCTCAGCTGTAGAGGTCGAGACCGAAGAGGAGCGCGTGGACCGCCAGGAAACAGCTCCAGAACCCAGGCTAAAACAGTACCCCTGAGTAGACCTGTGAGTCTCAGCGTCGTCAGCGTAAGAAGAGTCACAGTGACCAGTAAGTACGACAGACTGCTGCCCTCCAAGAACTAGCCCCACGCCTGATGTCGTCGCTAGGTACTTCGCCACCCTCACAGCTGCTGTCCAGTGAATAGGACGGTGTCTCCCTGGCGCAACAAAGCGCGCAAGGACGCTGAGAGGGAAGGCGAGGTCTGGGCGAGTACAAGTCATCAGGTACATGAGGCAACCCACAAGCTCTGCGTAGGGACCACTAGGCTCAAACGGCTCGTCAGGAAAGGGTCCAGTGAGTCTGTGGTCAACAGCAAGAGGTGTGCGC